CTTTCCTTTTGAAGTTTCTTCCCCAAAAATTTCTATTTCTTGACATGGAAGACATACAGTATACAACATTAAGTGACAAAAGCAGACTATCCAATAGGATGCATACAATGACCAAATTTTTGTTTAAACAGACATATTAAAGGGTCTGAACAGACTTACATTTGAATGTAAATAATGATTATCCCTATGTAATAGATTTACATTTAAATTTTTAAAATTATTTTTTGGCTACTGGAACTTGAACCCAGGGCTCGTGCATGCTAGGCAAGTATTCTACCACTAGGCTGTATCACCAACCTCACTTTTTTACTTCATATCTTAGCTCTTTTTGTTTTTGTCTTTACAAGCATGTATTAATTTTGGAAAACATTTCTGGAAGGCTCCAGTGATAGAAAACAATTGATTTTCTTCAAATACTTTGAGCTAACAAGCAATAAAACATGGAGTGATATCATTTGACACAATTTCACATGGAGATTTTTTTTATTTTATTTTAAAGAGTAAAAGAAGGTCACATGGAGATTTTAATAATTTAGAGAAACTATATGATTTACACACGAGGAAGTACATTTTTCTAGGAACCAACCAAAACCTTAGAGGACTCAAACAGTACAGCTGTAATGTAAAAATACAAAGCAACATAAAGGACTCTCTCACTGATGAATATTGAATGTAACTTAGATGACAAAAACAGCTCATCACCTTCCATACTGGGCAAAGGTCAATAGGTGGTAATGCTGAGGAACAACCATGAGCCTGCTCCCCAAAACAAATGTCTATGTGTGCATACACAGCCATACACACACACGCGCGCACGCGTGCACACACACACGAAGTCAAACTCATGTACATAACTCACAGCAGCACATGTTCCTATCTGCACACAGCTGCCCAAGTACAAACATGGCCACACATGTGCAACAAGCAGCCACAGAGGCACACACACAGTCACACACTCCTATGGGAAGTCACACACACAAAGCTTAATGCACATACACAGAGCATCTCCACAAGGCTATCTCCAAAAACTCCCCAAGTTTCCCAGAGAATTCTGCTGGATACCACCCTCGCTTATTCACTTCCATCCAACCAAGCTAATGGTCACTCCCCCAGAAACAAGAATTGGCCACCAAGTAGAGTCAAAAACAGGCCTTTGTTGTACCATGACTTCATCTATCTGGCATGGTCCTGCCTCCACTTTCCAACAGAATATTCTCAATGTCCAGATCATGTGTGGAGACTCGCACTAAGCTTTACAAGTTCACTCATAATGGATAAACCATTCATAAGATTTAAAATAATACTTAAATGAGAATCTGGACATCAGGACCTATCATTATTCTTATCGTTATCTAAAGGAAGAGTTAAGTAAGCATTAAGTAGGAGACCAGGGCAGATGGAAAGCCAGTGGTTAGGCTAGTGCTGACAGCAGCTCCCCATAGGATATGCAAGAAAAGTACAGCTGGGACCCCCTTGAACCAGATGACATCCCACAAGGAAGACATTCCCATACAGTGCCTCTGAGTATCAACTTCTCTATCCTTTGCCTGTCATGACTTTTTTTTTTTAGGAGAAGGTCTTGTTATGTCACTCACACTGGCCTTGAATTCACTATGCAGCCTAAGCTGGCCTTCCTACTCAAAGCAATCCTTCTGCCTCAACCAAGTGGTCCACAACCTTGAGATACCTCTTAAATCCTTTTGTCTCTGATCTCTTGTGCTCCCATCCTTCGCTTGACTTTTAACTCTTTTGCAAAGCTGTGAGTGATATGTAGGTTGCTACATGCAACTTATATGAAATTCGATTCCAGACTGGTTAATTCTTGTTTTGTGGCACAGACAGAGGTAGCACAAGTAATCCTCAGATTTGTTAAAAGACTATAAATATTATCCTCACATTTTATTATGCTGTTAATACTTATCAGCAGGAACATGGCCCAGCTCCTTACTCTCAGCCGGGGAAGCTATACATGCATATCAAGCAGTAGGGATTTCAGAGCAAACAGCGGGCAAACCACAGAAATCTAGTTCTGACACGTCACCTGGCCGAACTTTGGTAGCAGAAGCCCAAGAAACACATGGAGTTTCATGTATATTGACATTGTCCTGTGGTCCAAAGGATGTACTTATGTGGCAGATGAGAACTTGGAACACTGGATATTATCTAAATTACACTGTTTGATATTAACTAAATTATACTACTTGCTGCCAGGTTCCTAGAAGTGTTTGTATCACGGCTAAATGCTAAGATGTAGTTTTTGCTGGCTTTTGAGCAGACTTGACATTCTTTTGTCTATTAGGCAGGTCCAACATGTAAGTGAAGACTTTGTATTTTAAGTATTTTCCTTCACTCATTTTATTGCAATATGAGATGCTTCCTGGGGGAGACAGAAACTGCAAGTTGTTAAAGTCAGATTTCTGTGTTTCTTTCTTGCGGTAAACCATGTGGATGTGGATTCCTGCTCTCAGCCTATTTTAAGTGCAGATAACAAGCAGCCCCATGGGGGACGTAGGTAAGCGGACGGTCAGAGTGGAAAATCTGATGGATACACATAACCCCCTTCCACGGAGAGAGGGTCTGGGGGAGAGGCGCCTGGGTCACCCAAAAGGTCAACTGTTTTTCTGAGATCAACGCTTTTGGAGCCCAGTCTGGTCAGGGACTTGCCCCAGGAAGCCCTTTCTGTCCCCTGCCCACGGGAGTGTGTCGTCTGCGCTCCCAAACTGGAACAGCCCGGCCTCTCCTCTGCAGTCTGCGATCCACTTCAGCCCTCCTTCCTCCTTGGGCCCCATCCCTGCTCCTTCAGAGTCTCGACCCCATCCTTCCTCCCTCTCTCCTCCTACTCCTTATTCTTTATCGTCTTGCACGCTGTGTCCCCGTTCACTCTTTTCCATGTCTCCTTCCTTCTGTCCCTTGTGCCCCCCATTCATCCTCCTCCAGCCTTTCGTGCCGTGCTCCCCATTCATCCTCCTTCTGCCCCCGATCGCCCTTGCTCAGTCCCAAGCCAACAGCCGGAGCTGTCCCACAACAGCTCCCTGGACAGCAGCGCGAGCGCCTTACCCGGGCGCGGTAGGCCCGCGCCGGCCGGCGGCCCTCCGACGGCGGGAAAGCACCAGTGGCCGGGCGCGGGACGTGGCGAACAGCAGAGCCAAGGCAGATCGGGGCAGCAGCCCTAGCTCGGGCCCCGCCCGGGCCGGCCCGGAAGTGACGTCACGGAAGGCGGACCTGGGCGGTGCCTGGCGCTACAGGAGCACAGCCGGAACAGAGGGACGGGGCTACACGCGGGCCGCTCTCGGGTGGGCCGGGCGAGGAGAAGTTCAGCGCCTGCGGGGAAGGAGCTATTTTTGGTCTGTCCCTGGCGGAAGTGGGCGCTCCCGGAGCTCCGCCGCCCAGCTTTGTGCGAGGCCGTTTGGGAGAACCCGGAGTGCGGGCTCGGGGCGGTAGTGACTTCACGGTGGTCTCGGAGCGCCTCGCGAGGACCTGTGTCTGCTCACACCGGCTTGGCTCCTGAGGTCGCTGCCTCGCATTATTCTAGCCCCTGTGAGCAGCGCTGGCTTTTCCCAGAAGCAGCTAAGGTTTTTTTGAGCGCCTGCAACCCGCGAGGCTTTCACTAATTACCTGCAGAACCAGTGTTTTAATTCTGCGACAGTACGGTGGGGAGCTTCACCCCCATTTTACAGGCTCAGAAACTGAGACTCACAAAGGGCTTTGCAATTGTAAGATGTGGAATAAAAGTGGGACGAAAACAGAATCCATGGAACTTGACCTTAATTAGAAATAGGCTTTGCAAATCACTAGTTCTGTTGCTGAATCCCACTGTGTGAAAACCTCTTATATGCCCCCCGCCCAGTTCAAACCAAAGCCAGTGAAGGATGATCTCATGGGAATAAAGTGGAAAGGCTTTATGTCCTTACAGTTTCAGAACCTATTTTGAGCTTCTGGGCTAGGAAATTTAAAAGCTGAGGCTGTGCAACCAACGGTATCAACTATCCAGGTCGAAGTTCTGGGAGCCCTGGAAATGCAATGTCACACCCCATCTCCAGTAACCTCACAGTTTCACCTTGTGCGGAATTTACCTGGAAAAGACGGGCTTGCCATGACCCAGGCCAGCTGTGGAAGAGCCTGTGAAGACAAGATCGTTCTGCTTTGTGTTTGCTTTAATTTCCCAACTAGCTTAGTTCTAACGAGTACAGTACCCTTGCTCCCTTTGCCAGTGAAAATACACCTGAACAGCTACTTGTGTGTAGTTCTGTACTCGCTCTCTTCAAAAATCAGTGTCTTGGGTACTGGAGGCTGAAAGGAAACAGAGCACTCGGCCTGGGGAGTCCTTCTCTAGACTGGAGGTTCCTGGGTATACAAAAGACTAGAGTTTCCTAATTAAAGGTGGAATATTCCTCGGTTTTGTTGCTTCAGCTGGGATGCTAGCTGGATATGTCATACAATTATCAATGGCTAAAATGAAAAGCCCTGAATGGTCCAAGAAGGCCAGTAGGCTACAGCTGCCTTATGGGAGTGTAGGTCTTTCTTTGCCTTGTGACCTCTGGGATGGTCTCACTTTACATCTCCTGTATTGTTGGTGTGTTCAGCTTCTCGGTCTGGAAAGCTTTAGCCCAAGGTAGCTTGTATCATCCCACCAGAGTGTCTGGTCTCTGCTGGCTTGGAAAGTGTGAAAACAAAGCAAGTCACATCGAAGCAGGACCAGAGGAACTGTGCTAATCCCCACACTTACCCTGCCTCCACCAACTCCTTTGCTTATTCTTCCTGTTCTTCCAGTACTACATTTCAGTGACAGCAAGAGTGCAAGTAGCTTTTCAAATAATTTTGCATTTTAAAACTGAAACCTTTTCTTGGTGATGATGAAAGGGCTATATGTGCCAGGGAGCCCCGTTTTGTGAAGCATCTTCGGTCTCCGCATAAGAAGGAGTCTCTTGAGCAGTCATTACAGTCAGGATGATTTATAAGTGGGGAGAAAGTGCCCTTACTTTTATTGGGGCTTTTATAGTTTATTAGAGCATGCATTGCATCAGATGCAATGTTTACATCTCCTCAGAAATTTAAAAGGAAATTAGTTCATAAGGTTTCCCAGAAAAATGCAGGAGGCTAATTATGTTCCTGCCATGATTCTGAAGTGAGTGAAGATGAGATAGTAGATAGGAGATTTTATATGCCAAAGCTTTGGATAAACTTGAATTCCTAAAATCTGATAGATTCCTCTGTTTATTGAGCCCTCCAGTTCTTTTATGTAGCATCCAGATGCTGGATGGTAGTTATTTTTACAATGTCTAAGGGACTGCATCAAAGATGATGTCTTTCCTGTCTCTGTTGTAGCAGTATTTGTATTATAAATATATAGACCAGTGGTTACCATCTGGTCTAAGAACAAGTAGGATATTAGGGCTTACTGCGTTCTGGAAATTATTTTTTTATTATGGGCTTGGGATGTGGCTCGGTGGTAGAATGCTTGCCTAGAAATTATTATTTTCATTAAATAAGTGCTAATTCATTCTGGTCAACTTATACTTATGTTTATTTTTATACTGGTATCACTTTTAAAAGTTGTGATTTCCTCTACAATATAGAAATAAAAGTACACACAGGAATACTTTTTGTAATGGAAAAAATGTCTATGTCTGTTTTCATTTATTCATTGAAAAAACAGGGATGACTTTTAGTTCTAGTGCTGAAATTAAAAACAATAAGACACAGACTTTCTTCTCTCTAGAGAAGGGGACAGCTGGCCCTCCATCTGTTTTTATAAATAAAGCTTTGTTGGAACACAGTTGTGCTTCTTCATTAGGTATTGTCCGTGGCTACTCTATCAATAAAGGGGCTGAATTGAGTAGCTGCAGCAGACTGTATAGTTCAGAAAGCCTAAAATATTTAATCCCTAGCTTTTTACAGGACATACAGTGACACCTTGGTGGTTGAACTCAATTAGTTCCAAATTTGTGTCCAAACATGGTAAATGTTCGAGAACTGAACATTTTCCCATGAATTTCTCCCGTGAAAAGTAATGAGAAACCAAATACCAAATAATTGGTTCTAAGGCCCCAATATTACACAAGCACTCTATGTTGTCTAAGTGAGCAGAGCTTAGACTGAAACATCACCCCTTTGTGTCCACAATGAGGCACGAATGTGAGGGTATGACTCACTCTCCGCCTGTAGAGATCAAGTCGGATTTTCAGTTGAACAAAGGCTTTTATAACAAAATAATTCTTTGGGGAAAATAAGTAGTTTTGAGGTCAATTTGGTGTTCGGAAACAGATGAGCTGACATGCACCAGGGCAGTTATGAATTTTGTAAGTCCATTGGACTGTCCAAATCAATAGGCAAACTGGTAAATCTAGTATTTCTCAGAGCTTCTAAAGTATTGTTAGATTCTGGAAAATTTGTGGAAAATTTCTGGAAAATCTCCCTCTTGTGGACTGTGTTCTGGACATAATGTCTGTGTGACATCTTACCCCATCACAAAAATCTCTAAGGCTTAGAAAATCTCTTCTTGCTCTTTTTTGTTTTATTTTACTTTCTTGAGACAGGGTCTCACAATGTAGTTTAGGCTGATCTTGAACGCACTATGTAGCCAAAGCTGGCCTCAAACTAACTGTAATCCTCCTGCCTCAGCCTCCCTAGTGCTGAGATTATAGGTGTATGCCACCACACCCAGCTTTTTCTTTTAGATCATTTAATTTTTATGTTATTACAGACTACAGTAGATCAGGGCCACTTGGAACATGGTATCCACTGAGGGCAGAGCTCTGAGAATTGGGCAGCTGCTTCTCGGGGCATTGTAAGGAGTAAGGCAGGGCTGACACACTCTTCCCACTGTAGCAGATGAAACAGAGAAGGGTACACTTCATCTCTCCAATGTTTTGTTTGTTTGTTTGTTTTCCTCATCGCAGACTGTTTCAAATGCTTTCTGGGCAGATATACCCAAAGACAAAGCTTGATTATCTGAATTGTTGAATATTCCCTCCCTCCCTCCCTTCCTTCCTTTTCTTCTTTTTTTCTTTTTTTTTTTTCTTGCAGTAGTGGGAATTGAACCCTGGGCCTTGCACTGACTGAGCTGCACTCCTAGCCCCACACATTTATTTATTTATGTATTTATGTATTATTTATTTACACGCAGGATCTCACTAAGTTGCAGAGGCTGGGCTCAAATCTGTGATTCTTCTACCCCAGGCCGTAGAATAACTGGGAGGCAGGTGCCACCCTGCCCGGGAATATAGTTTCTTTACATCCTGGCTAGATGTCACACTTGCAAGTCAGGGCTCTGGAGTGACACGGCTAACTTTGAATTCTGATTCCTTCCCTTTTTACTTGACTGGCATAGGAGGCTGAGACTTCTATTCAATTTCATGTCAGTTCTTCTTGTTTGTGGTAATTACACGTAATGCAGTCTCCACAAACACTCACTTAGCAAAAGCTGAGCCATTGCTCCTGTGGAAAATACAAGGTGAGGTTCCTGTGAGCTTTGATCACGTTTTTACTAATCAATCAATACATAACTTCTCTCTTCTATGTTTCTTTTTAAAGACATTTTAAAAGGTATTAAATACCTTTAAGCAGTTCCACTAAGGTAAGAACTTATCCAAATTAAAAACATGTGTTTTTAAAAAGTTAAAATTAATGCCAGGCGCAGTGGTGCACGCCTATAATCCCAACACTGGGGAAGCTGAGTCAGCAGGAGGACCACTTTGAGGTTGAGGCCAGCCTGGGCTACAAAGTGAGTTCAAGACCAGCCTGAACTGCATAGTGAAACCCTGTCTCAAAAAGACAAAATAGAAAGTGAGACCTTGTCTCAAAAAACAAACAATACAAAATAAATTGTACCAATAAACTTAATTTAAAAATTATCATAACTTTAATGTCCTTAGTTTTGTATTTGGGGCATAAAATGAACCAATAAGAATAATAAGAATAATAACAATAAGAATGAGTAGAGCATGCAGGAAATACTGGCCTCCTCTGCAAAGGACCCTCCCTTAGATGAGAGAGGCCACAGCCTCTTTGGGAAGGGACAGGGTATTTCTGTGACAAGTGAAGGTTTTTGCCTGGTGTGACCAAGGCAGCTCTGGAGAGCTTTCAGGAGGCTCTGATACTCAAGGACTCCAAGAAGTGCAAAGCTCAGCCATCCCTGTTCTAAACAGTAGGCTTCTGCTCTTCTTAATCTTTGAAGGTGATAGTTCGCTCTGT